CTCGCTGAGTTTTTTTTTTTTTTGAATATTGGAAAAACATAATTACATCGTAACACATGAAAAAAAATAACAGAAAGTTTTTCATGATCATATGAGTTTGTCGGATAAACTATATTATAATTTGAATGGAATCTATAATAATGGTAGTAATTCATAATATAACTTATATATAATTAATATGTTGGTGCAACTTATGTTGCATTCAATTAGTCTAACAGTCCATTTCATACTGATCGGTCCTAATCAGTCCTAGACCGCAGTCCAGTTTAACTTTTTAAAAAACTGCTAGTCTTTGGACCAAGACGGACTGGATGACCAAATAACAGCATGTTCAAACTGAACTTCTAATCATGTTCGAGTTCAGTTCAGGTTCAAAGATTTTGTGTTCAGTTCAGGTTCGGGTTCAAAAATTTCGAAATTCATGGTTCAAGTTTGGGTTCGATCAGACCCGAACCCGAACTGACTGACTAATAAGAACTTTATTAAAATTGTTTTTAAAAACCAATTATATAATTCTATTCTAAAATTATAAAAAAATAAATTTTAGAATTTTAAAAAGTTTGAATAAAATTTATTTTTCTAAAAATAAATATGATATTACTATTTTATAATTCTTATTTTCAAATATATATTATTAAGGATCAATTTTCATACCCCCACATTTAATATTCATACCCCCTCTGCAGATTTAATTTTTTTTAAAACTTTAAGTAAAGATATCTTAGTAATTACCAAATCAAATTTAATAAACTTTTTTCTTTAAATTCTATAGATTTATAGAATTCAAATAAAAAAAAGATTTTTAAATTTGGTATTGCTAAGATATATTTGCTCAAAGTTTTAAAAAAATCAAAATATCTATCAAAATGTCTATCAAAACAAACTACAAAATTTTTTTTTAAACTTTGAGCGAAGATATCCCTGCAACTACTAAGCCAAATTCAATGAACTTTTTTTTTGCTTGAATGCTATGAATCTATAGAATTAAAATAAAAAAAAGTTCATAGAATTTAACTTAATAGTTACAGAGTTATATTCACTTAAATTTTTAAAATTTAAAACATCTATCAAAACAGAAGCTGTGCCAAATTTTTTTCCAAACTTTAAACCAAATTTGATAAAAATTTTTTTGTTTGAATTCTATTAATTCGTAGAATTTAAATAAAAAAAATTATCAAATTTGGCTTGATGGTTGCTAAGCTATCTTCGCTTAAAGTTTGGAAAAAAATTTGGTATAGCTTCTGTTTTAATAGATTTTTTTAAAATTTGAGTAAATATAACTCTGTAACTATTAAGTTAAATTCTATGAATTTTTTTTTATTTTAATTCTATATATTCATAGAATTCAAGCAAAAAAAATTTCATCGAATTTGGCTTAGTAGTTGCAGAGATATCTTCGCTCAAAGTTTAAAGAAAAATTTTGTAGTTTGTTTTGATAGACATTTTGATAGATATTTTGATTTTTTTCAAACTTTGAGCAAATATATCTTAGCAACTACTAGGCCAAATTCAATAAACTTTTTTTTATTTGAATTCTATAAATCTATAGAATTTAAAGAAAAAAAAAGTTTATTAAATTTGATTTGGTAGTTACTATAATACCTTCACTTAAAGTTTTAAAAAAAGTTAAATCTGCAGGGGATCCCCTAAATAAAAATTGGCACATCACATGATCTGTAAATTTTTTGGGTGGCTCGGTTGTAAAAAACCGGTTCGAACCGACCCGCATGAAACACTACCTAAACCATTAAAATCCAATCACTAGCATGGGCATGCCTTGACTCAGAGCACATTTGTAATAATAAATTTTAACTCGTGCCACGAACACTACCAATCACAGAATCACAATATTGTTAAAAAATATGCGTAAAATCTCCATTCGTTCACATATCGGGGAAACTAAGCCTAAAATGGCAGTCATTATTGTTATATAATAAAAAAAAAATTCTACTTTATCATTTGTATTTTAATATTGTATTATATAGTATAAATTAACAAAATTCAAATTGCAATTAAATTACATTCTATAATTATTAAACCTATTACACTCAATGTTGAAAATTTGCAAATTGCACAAAAAAATAGAGTAACATTCATGTATAAAAAATTTTTTTTTGCACAGTATATTTGTGCCGAATTTTCAACACTGATTATATAATTACATTCTACAGTTATCAAGTAAATCTTTTATACAGCGACTAAAAATAACCCAAGTGTCTGTATATACGGCACTAACATCCATCGTGATACGAAATAGAATAACATTCCAAACGCTATGGATATTGGTAATGCGGGTAATGCTTTTCGGTAGATTGCAAGTAGAAAAATAGTGGCATTGAGACCCTATGTTGATACAAATTCCAATTACAAAATATGAATTAGTCGAGAAAATTAATGTCGAGAATGATGCTTATGAATCGGATGTTATCAAGATTGACAATTTTATTGAATTATGGTGCCCACCATACAACCGGTCAATAAAATTCATTGATCTCTGCACCATCCGTGAGGATATATTAAGAATACTTTACCGTTAGAACGGCAACTATACACGCTATTGTTGTTATCCAATCAGACGTCGCTAATTATTTAGTGATGGAAATTAGAATGAACTAAAGAACCTAGATACATTGTAAATATGAGTGCCGTCAAGGGAAAACCCACATGCTGGCTTTCAATTATATTTTGTGTCTAAACTTTTAATCGTATTTTCTTGACAACTGCTACACCAAATTCGATGAAATTTTTTTTACTCGAATTCTAATAAAAAAAACTTCATTGAATTTGGTGTAGACACAAAATATAATTGAAAGCCAGTATGTGGGTTTCCCTTGACAGCACTCATATATTAAATATTACATACCGGCTTGTGCTACCAAAACACTATAAAATACAAAGTCACCCAATCCTAATTTCAACCCATTTCTTTCATCTAAATATTAAAAATGATTAGACATAGCTTTTGAGAAGATATACATTCAATAAATTTGAAATTAGTAAAAACCTTCATCATCATCAGTATCATCAGAAATATTCCCATTAGCATTGAGAGAATTAGATGAATTATTAACATCAGTGTCATTGTGAGCACCAACTTCATTTCTATTATAAATATTATGCCTTAAATTTTCAGATAAAGGTATATCTTCACCAGGTGGAGTAGTGGATGTATTTGTAGTGGATGAAGAATTTATTGATGAAATAAGTGATGAGGGCGAAGAATCTGTATGTACTTGAATTAAAGGTGATGTAGATGATGTACCAGGGATTTGATTTGAAAGTTTGGGGGTCGCCATCAGCCAAACGGCATTTACTGATAAAAAAATTGATTAGGGAAAAAGTGACAATTAATTTACATAATACAATAATATTGAGGTCGAAACATTTCGTAGGACGCTAAAGTAAAATAATTTCGTCAAGGCGAAATATTTCGGTTTAGCGCAAAATTAAATTTTAAACAATATATACCAGAGTATAATAATGCCGGAATTTCGCGTTCATCCTTCTTTGATTGTTCAACGAGAAGGCGTAAAGGTCCAAATGGACATAGTACAGCAATTAAATCTTTGATTGTAAGAAATTCAAAATCCATTAACGTGATATGAAGATATTATATGAAATAAAAATTGCAAATCACTATATATTTAATTTGATATATTACCCCAAATAGCCAACAGGCCTAACAAAATCCACGTAGTCCATGATGATAATCCAGTCAGAGAGAATGCCTAAGAATCGAAAAAAAAAAACGGTCAATTGCCAATGTTATAAGGGCTTATTTGAAATATTGCATAAAATAGCCACCATTAAACTCGACATAATTGTCAGATATGCTTGTTGTAACAGCAGAGGGCCTTTCCAAAAAACAGACACAAGACCCACTGCAGTGAAATTCCATAGGGCAAATATGAGGGAAATATAATCTAACGGTATTGAAAAAATTGATATAATATTCCTATAAAAAAAAAAAAAAAGTAATCGATGAGAATATACTCATAAAAGGAAATACATTTTGCATTTAAAAATCATACATACGATACAAGAAGATATGACATAAATCCGAGAGGGAAAAGCACCACAAACATAAAGAACCCTACAAGGATCTGAACATATACAAGTTAATATATATAGATAATGAATAACAAAAAAATTAATATCACACTTTTGTAAATCCATATTTAAATAGAAACACAATGACAACTGTGGCCACAATAATTTGTCCAATAAGGAGCCCTGCCGTATAAATAGAAGAGGTAATTGATGACGAAGAATCACTTGAACTTGAACTGCCGCTAGAGCTACCACTTCTATAAAAGGTAGAATGGTAATTAATAGGAGCAATAGAGGTTTTAAGTTACATATAAACAGCTTTCTCGCCACCTCACCCAATTTCAAAATAGGATGGTGCTTGGGATAACTTCACCCAGAGGACAGATAGTACAATACATAGAACTACAGGTTTGATAATTCTGTAGACTTGTTGCATATAGAACTTGAATTCATCAGCTTGAACAGGATCAATTGCCGGAGATTGGTCGTTGGAATTAGGCTGTAGTTGATGACAAATTTAATAAAATTCAAATGAAAAAAATGAAATAAAAAAAACGTATATATAACTATACTTACTAGTGTTGCAGAAGTAGGAGACGTAAGTGCGTCTTGGTTCGACCGTCGTTCTAAATTTCAATGTATAGTTTAATATAAATCAAGCAACTAGAGAATAAAATTTAAAATATACCAACTTTTAAGGTTAATGAGTTGAGCAACATTTCCTCTACTGTAAACTTTACTACTTGTTCTTTTACTTGCTCGAGAATTTCTTTCATTGTCGTGTTCCTCAGACTCTGTGTCTGAATGCGCACTCGCGCATACAGCAGCATGCCCCTTTTCCCAATGATCGCTCTGGCATTTCTGCGAACAATAACGAGGACCTGTTTGCCCACATGCTTCACATAAATATTGCGCTGAATCTCCACAATTTGCACATACAGAATTCACAAAGACAACCTGCTCAAGATCAACCGACGATTCTTGTGAGGTCATTTTGACTTACTATTCAAAAATAACTTATATAGGAGTTTCTAGAAGAGCAAGGTGGTGTTTGTTCAACATATATCGAATGTACGTACATAATAAGCTTTTTTTTATTGTGGAATAGCATAGATACAAGTAAAATTTAAAGTTGTATGTTATACATATCTATAATTAGCTGTAATTAAATTAATTTCGTATTCTGGTCTGAACCCGTTTTCTTTGATAACGATTTATAACTGATAATAATTATGCATCATTGTAATATGTACGAATATGTACAAATTTAGTAGGCTGCTATACTAAATTAACTTTTAAGTGGACCCCTTTTACTCATATACTAATATTTGATATAGACACCTCCTGCTTCTGATTTTGCCTCCACTACTCAGTTTTTCTGCGGCTCCTATTGGTCATCATGTGCAAGAAAGCACGAAAATTACATTTTGAATTACATGTAACGGTAACGGTAAAATTTAATTACGCATAGTTGATAATTATGGTAAACCTACAAATTAAGAAGGGCATAAAGTCAATTATTTCTCATAATCCTGTTAAAATTTTAAAATTAGATTTTAACGGTTAAGGAAACCTATTTTTATGCATCTGCATGATAATTTCTAAACATAAATTAAGCATATAATAACCCTTTTTTTTTAAGTCTATCTCCCTATAACTTATTTGCATTAGTTCAAAAGAGGATATAGTTTCTAAGAAAAAAATGCCATAAAAATAGATTATTAATAATAATAAAAGAATTTTTTTTTGCTTAATACTATTGATTCCATTTGATCGAAAGTTTTAAAAGGTCCATTAAAGCATGAAGAACGTGCTGGGAAAAAAATTACATACAGTATAAGGAAAGGGATGTATTTTGGTGGAGTTAAAATTTATTAAATTCGCTACGTAATAGTAAAAACTTTATTACAAATTTTATTGTAGAGATTGTACCCGTCAAGAAAATATCTACCCGGGTACAATCTCTGTTTTATTGTATTATAACATAATTCTTTGTCTAGTTAATTCTAAAACTAGGTTAATGTATGGCATTGTGTGCCCGGAGAAACTACTACAGATGCTCGTAATAAGTATTTGATCAAAAACGTAACTTTGTATCAAACTTGCCTAAATATTATTACGATGAATCAAAAACAGAGCTTTTTAACGCATAAAGTTACGATTTGATATTTTTAATATCGATATATCAAAAACGTAACCTTACGTAAACATATGAAAAAATTCTGTGCCAGGTTTTGTCGATTATATAACACGTGATCAATTTGTACCAAAATTGAGGATCCTATTAAACTTCTAGCGATGATTTTTCAATAACTACTTGATCAAATTCGGTAACAATTTTTTATTTTAATTATATAGTTTCGTAGAAATAAAATAAAAAAAAGCTCCTCAAATTTGGTTTAGCAGTTGTTCTTTGAACTTTAAATGACGATTTCTTGACAACCAAGCATCCAAATTTGATGAAAATTTTTATTTTAATTCTGTGGGTTCATATAATTGAGATAAAAAAATTTGATCAAATTTGAATAGCTGGTTGTCGATAAATATTCATTAAAAGCTAAAAAAAAAGTTTAATCGCAGCTTTTTTTTTGTAGATGCCTAAACTTTGAACGAAGATACTCGGCATTTACCTGGTCAAATTCGATCAAATTTTTTTTATTTAATTATATGTGCACATAGAATTAAAATATAAAAAAATTGAGCAAGGCCTCACCTTTTAATATTAATTTAAATATATATATATATATATATATATATAATTGATCGAATTTGACCAGGCAAGTGCCAAATAATCTTTAAAAAAGAAGCTGCTAACAAACTTTTTTTAAATTTTAATAAATATTTCTTGACATATAATTTAATATAATTTTTAAATAAAACAAAATCTATATAATATTATCAATTTCAGAATCTTAATCCTAATCCTAAATTCTAGTATTATAAATCTTAAACCCAAACCCTAATTTTAGAACTCTTGCACCTACTATAGAATTCTAGAACCCAAACTATATCTTTAAAATTCTTGCACTTATTTTAAAACTTTAAAACCTAACTTTAAAATCTTATCTGCTTACATAATTACATAAAGAATTTATTTATTATCAAAACCTAAAGTTAGAAATGCTTATTAGCACAGTTAAAAATAAATATGAAGCATTTGAATATTATCAAAAATCAGCAAAGATAAAATATACTATAAAACAACCATTTCTATTAACTTGGAATTTGGATTAAAAAGAATAAATAAAATGGTAAAGATAGAAGTGTTTCTGAACAATTGATTTGAATTCTCTTGATAAAATAGGTAAATAAATATATAACCTGCATAATAAAGAAAACTCAAAGACAACACTTTATTTAATTCTAAACTATTAAATAATTTCTAGTAATAAGAATTAAAATTTATATAATACTAATTTTTATTTATAATTAAATTAATTCTATAATTCAAATTGTTTTTGCACATTAGCAAAATATATAAATATAAACTTATATAAATTATTATACCCTAAGATATTGCACAATAATTACGGTTTAGATGGAATATTTTTTTTTTTTTTTTTTTAATCTTCACGGGTTTTGTCATAGCTTGCTTTTTATTAAAATGTGTATAAGAACTATATACATTTAATTTATAGAACTCAGAGCCCAACTTCACTCGG